GAATGTGCTGACTGTTTGTTTGATGACAGGAGATACTTCGTCTTGTCCTCGTTTACCACCAGACCCATGCGCTTTGCTTCCCTATCCAACTTGGAAAAGGCAGAACAGACTTCGCGGTTTTTGTTACCGATGATGTCGATGTCATCGGCATAAGCCAGCAATTGCAATTGCTTATCTTACAAGAATAAAAAATAAGTATGCTGCTTAGTTGTTTTTCTCAAATGCTTCATTAAAAAAACTTTATATATTATCGAATATCGGTTTAGTATTTTGAGTGCCGAACCTGGACAAATATTTTCGGATATAATCAATTTTATAGTTAAATAACAAAGAAAAGATTATTTAAAATAAAATAACATAAGCCGTTTTAATTATACTTAACTAAACCAAAATAGACTTTGGAAAATGGAATATTTAAATCCCATTTGTTTTAATACACTTCAGTGTCATTATTTTTACCAAATGTTAATTTTTTAACAAATTTAATACCTCTTGGATAATTTTTTTTTAGAAGAGTGTTGGAATTTCTAGTTAATTTCTTGTTTTATTCAAATTGATTAGGATAAATATTCTCTCCACATTTGCTGTGACGACTGAAATGTAAAAGACAGCTTAAATAATTTGTAATTAGGAAAAGTTTACTTAGGAAAACCGCAAGAGAAACTTTAATTTATTCCTTCAAATCGGAAATTTCGAAAAAAAAAACTGTAATTTTTGTTAGGAGGTAATTTAAACAACCGTTAGCTTGTCTAAAAAACTGAAATTTACAGTTAAAACTGTGAATCTGGCAACGTTGATACCTACACACAAGCTGTTAACCGACAATGGAATATTTGTCGTCACTTTGACACAGCGCTCGGCACTTTTCAAGCATTCGGCTTTGCTCCAGCAGCAGGACGAATGAGAGTGCTCACTAATATCTGCTTTGCTTGCGTTCGCAGATTGCTTGGATGGATTGGACATTTGACTCTGCCAGTTGAGTTTCGACCGTATGAGTACACTGTGCTACGTTTAAAGTTGCGGCGAATACGAACTGAACAGAATCGCGCGTCTGTTTGTCTGTCTGTCTGGCCGCCTGCCTGTCTGACTGAATGTCTACCTTTGCTGTCGAAAATTTTCGTCTTTTGCCTCTCGCCTCTGACTAAATAGGTGACGCGGTGGTTTGCGTGGCAACTTGAAATTTGTACGTGAGTGGAAAATTTCTAACAACAAACATATTTGTACCAACATCGTAGTCGGTGAGGAACAACAGCGATAACAGCAGTAGCAATAAATGAGTTAAACTACCAAACACAAACATTTGAAATCGAAATCGTGAAAAATATCAAAATCAAATGACTCATTCAAAATAATTGCCGAAAAACTGAAACAAAAAAAGCAAAGAATATTTTTGTAATTAAACAGTTTTCTATTGACTCGCACGTCCACCATTTTTATACATGGCCGTCAAATCAGCGCCCGTTTACCTGCCTCCACGCTGAATAATCGAGAGACCGAGCCCAACCAAAATATTGCCACTAAACAGTTTTTACCAGCAGCAACTACGACGCTATTGTCTGTTGGTGGAGGTTAAATTCCTTTTTCTACATCACCCCCATCAGTCAACTATTAACTACTTAGCTCTATGCTCAGCAGTAAAAACAAATCTACATTGCAATTGCTGTAATAATCGTTACGAAGCGCTACTGTCTACGACGACGACGACGACGACGACGACGACGACTACTACTACTACAATAACCCCAACAACAGCGAGGACGATGGGAAAAGCCCTTAATCGACGACGTACAGTGGTTTGAGCATACAAATAGCGATAACATAGTGCAATAACAACAAGCAAAGTTTAGACGAACGAAAGCACATACGACTACAGTTTGCAGAAAAGGCGTCACCGTACTTGCCACACTCAACGCGAGGCAGTCGTAGTGACAAGAACACAGCAACGCCAATAAAAAAAATCAGCAGTTATATAGGAGCAACATTTGAAGCAGAGTTGGAGAGTCAGCAGTAGTGAAAGTTAGTACCAACCACTAGCCAGCAGCAACTAAAAAAAAAAAACACACACACACACACACACACACACAAGAATACAACCTTAGGCTGGTAAAGGCAAAGCTCTATCATAGACCACTGATAAGAAGAACGAACGGCCAGTGGGACAAGCGCACAGTCAGTAGCATACACAGATCACGGAAGCGCCTAGAAACTTTAAAGGTAGATCTCCAAGAATCACTTCACTGTCAGCGAGTTCACCTGCTCGAATTTAGTTAAAGGAAAAAACTTAAACAAGAAAACATAAAACAGTTGACGATTTGCTTATCAACCAACCGTAATTTCTTCTACTCTGCACCCTTTATTTCCGTTTTAGTGCGCTTGACGCCTTCACTTTGCTGATAAACGAGCATTTAATTATCAGCCTCTGTTATCAACGCGTTTGTGCTCATCTCCGGATTTCCGTTTCCGCGATAGTAGAAAAAGGAATACATATAAGAAAAAAGTGTTGTTCACTGGAAAACCGCAATTTTTTTTTAAAGCAACCACTTGCCTGCGAACAGTTTATCGTCGTCTATGGCATTATTGTTGTCGATGCTGTGCTTATCAAAACAGTGACATCATTTTTACAAAATAAACAATAAAATAACATACCTAAGTATATATAAACAAAAATTTTTTAATTAACAGCGAAGATTTGTGTTCTTTTTTTGTTCAAAGAATTTTACGCAAACCAACAATTATCGGCAATAAAATAAAAATGTGCCATTTTCGGAGCTGAAGATCTTTTAAAGTGAGCGATAACAGTATTTTTTTTTTCGTTGAAAGAGCGACTAGCAACAATAATAAAGGAAACGCCTGAAAATAGACATTAAAGCTGCCAAAGATGTTCTCCATGTGTTCCAAAGTGAAGCCACGAAACTCAACAGTGAATACACAACAACCAACGGGTGAGTACAAGTGAAAGTGTTTTTGGTGTAGGAGACCTTGGCAGCAGTATGATAGAGACGGTGTGGGGATGATGAGGGTGGGAAGCTATCATACATCCATACACATGTATGTACATGTACATATATTTAGTAGATGAGGAGGCAACTATACAAGTGCTACATACATACATACATATATACATATATACAATTACATACAGTCACTGCCAGTCAAAATGATGTGCTCCAAAGTCTTTCATTTTAAATCACTTTTCTTATTTTTTTATAAAAATTTGGTTCATAGTACAACAAAAATCATAAAAACAAAAATCTAAACTTTGTACAAAAACAAGGTAAATTCGATAAACTTTCCATTAATTTTCATGAAAAGTTCCAGCTTTTTGACCAGATTTCTTTTGGAAATACGTTGAGTATGCAATTTAGTAGCCCACTAAAATTTCAGTAGAATAAGATGCAAGTTTGAAGTTGCTACCGTTGATTCATACATACATACATATATATAAGCCACAACAAGTACATACAGAAGAATGTCTTAAATGTGAACCAGCGTAAGAGTGAAGTTCATAAAAGTGAAATGTGGACGCAAAAATCTATTGAGATTGTAACTGCACTTACGCATTGTACTTAGTTGTAAAATGAAATATGCAATTTTATTAAAAAAAACATAACTAAGGGACCGTGAAGACAAAAGATTTCGGGCATTCCAGATAACAAAATCTTGCTAAAATCCAGTTCCTCTCTTTTCATAAAGGGTTTACTCTATTTTGAAGTATCTAAAAAAAATAAACTTTGTACTACTTTTATTCCTTAAAAAAAATCAGTTCAATTTAATTGAAAAAAATACATTCAATTTAATTTAAATATCAAAAGGATCTAACAAAAACCGAATAATTTAATGATGTCTACTTAATTTAATTGAAATAAATTCAGTATAGCTAAATTAAAAAGAACATTATAGCAAACTAAGTTGAGTTGAATTGAATGGATTTAAATTAAATTCATTTAACTTAACGCCAATCTACTAAACTTAATTTTATTTAACTTAACTTATCGTACTTTAACGTAACTTAATTTACCATACCTTAACTTAACTTAACATAGCATAAGTAAACTTAACTTAACTTGCCTTAACTTAACTTTACTATTAACATACTGTTATAAAATAGAAAATGCAAAACCTATAAATTTCCACTGCAACCTGGACCTGGACTAATTTAATAGAAAAAGTAGTGAAATGATTGGAGAGAGACCAAATGTAGACACCATCGCACAGTGGTTCAAAACTGGTACTTAGTTTTCACAATTCACTAGAGCCTTAATTTTTCACTCAATTTGGTTTTTTTTTTTTTGTGCGGAAAAGTGAGGAAAACGTAGCAATTTTATAGAAAATCGATTCTCCTGTTCCATGTTCCAGTTAATAAACGTTACGTAATAAATATTTGTTGAAAACAGTTTTTGGGTTCCTCCAAAGCGAGAAAAATCACAAGAAAATTTGAAATGTTATACTAACATAAAAAAAGTCACCAAAAAACAAAAAATTGAGTTTTTAGACAAATTTTCGGAATGCAGTTTAATAGATCAATAAATTTTGGTATAGAAAAGCGGCAGAGAGGTCGCGTTGATTTTTAATAATTTATTTTGTTGTCTTAATGTGTATCCAATGCTGAAATATAGCCAATGGTTGTTGTGTTGGAAATGAAATAAATAAAATAAATAAATAAATTTTCGCAGCCATCTGCATGCTAAATGGGGTTTGTTATATTATTCAAAATCAACGCGAACTTGCACTTTATTATACTAGAAATTTATGTTCTATAAAACTGCTTACCGATTTTTTTTTAACCAATACAAAAATTTAATTTTAGTGAAATTTTTTTTTTTCAAATTTCAATTTTTTCCCCCCGTTTTGAGGGAAACCTACAATTCTTTTCAGCTAGTTTTTGTTATGCAACATTTATTAATTGGAACCGGAGAATCGATTTACTTGAAAATTGCTACTTTTCTGCACATTGCACTAAAACATTTAATATAAACAAATAAAAATTTAAAAATCAGGTTAACAGATCTTTTGAAAATTTTAAAAGGTTTTATTTAAAAAAAAGTTAATGAAATTGAGTGAAAATGAATCCAGTGAATTATGAATGTCAAATGGAAGTTTTGAATCACTGCGCATCGTGTCAATCTATTGAAGAACCACGAAAACTGGAAAAACTGTTCAGATTTCGCAATCGCAGAGGACGTGGGAACCAAACAGCCTTTTCTTCTACAAAAAAACAGCTACTAACGAAGAAAAAATAAAAAATAAAATTTATAAATTTTATTCATCTATTATTTTTTTCGTTTGTTTTCAGTATTTTATCATACATTTTGCGCATCAAATTTACCTCGTAATTTTACGTGGGGCTCGTAAATAGAGCTCCATACAGTTGACAGTTCTTTTACGAGGCTCTTAAATGGAAGATCCCAAATATAAAGTTGTGAAACGTGTAATAATAGTGTAAGGAAATTTTCTAGTTTTGAAATGATACAAAAAACACCGATACCTTTAAACTTAATTTTGCATTGTATCATTGCATTTTCATTTGACTATTTACAACTTTATTTATCAACCAATTTTCTTCGTTGATAGCTTTATATTTTTGTAAAAGAACAGACTTTAACACAAATCAGAAGAATTTCTAAAAAAATCCGTTATTTTCAAAATGTTTCCCTGTTAAATTTTGAATTTTTTCATTCGAAATGTAAACGTAAATTGAAGATATCTTGCGAAGCTGACCTGATTTAGAAAAAAACGGTATACAGGGCCACCCAAAATTAAGTTTACGTGTTTCGGCGATTTTATGGGTCATTTTAGCATCCCTGTGCAATTTTTTTTTGTATGAAACATGAGCATTACTCATACGCCATGTATGCGTATGTTATTTAATTTTTTTTTTTAACGTTTGATTTTTTTCATGCAGTGTTCTAGAAAAATGATTTCCGATCCACAATCTAGAAGCAAAGTTACGCGTCTCGGCGATTTTTTGTACGAATTTAGCCTATGTATGTCGTTTTGCTATTTTACTTGGAATGCCGCTTAATTTATTTTAAGTTAATTTAATTCCATTTTATTTGATTTTATTTTAATTTAATATTTGATTCTATTTAGTTATATTTTACATCGTTTAAAATATTTTATGTCATTTATTTTGCTATCTGCATGCTTTCTACAATCAATAAAATTCATACAGAAGATGTGTTCGAATAATTTTAAGACCAAAATCAAAGCTTAATGCGATTAAAGAGGCTTTACTGTATTAATACTTACATATACCAATTCGCATGCGTGTGTGCGTTGAACATATGTATGTAGTTCGGCTCATGGCGAGGTTGAGTTTCGGCCCAACACGCCGTACGACTGTAAAGCTTCTTTGCTAAGATTTTATTTTTCTCAATGAAATCCACGACTTATCGTTTTCGCGCAAGAACAAGTATGTACATACATACATACATAGGTATACATAAATAAATAAATATATGCACATGTACGCATACTACATGCAAAAACATACATATCTACATACATATGAATGTATATAAACTCTATTAGGCATTTAGGGGCGAGCGTTGAGTTTTGGAATATACCTGCTTTCATCCCTGCAGCGGAACTAGTGAGTTCACCAGTTTTCGGGAGTCGAATACCGGTACCTTGCAAATCTACCAGCCATGCTTTCTACTGTCGCATTTAACATGGAGTTGTCCTAGGAGGTGACAATTGACTCCAGCTGCGTAACTTTTCACTAGTACTTGTAGTAGTAACACGTAACCTGTAACCGAACCACTTTTTTTCGTTGTGCACTTCACAGATACTTTTTTAAAATTAAAAAAAAAAAACGAAAGTAAAGATTTTAAATTGTATGTTCTGCATAGTGAGATTTGAACTCGAACACTTTCGGCCGCAACTAATTCAGCCAGCATCTTTGCGCACTCAGCTACAGGCACAATATGTAAGTGTGCTTTCAAATGTTCGCTTTGAATCAAGCCAGGCGACGATTTGTTCAAATTTAAATTTGTCTTTGCTATTGTCTTTGCTATTTATTTTCCTGTGATCGAACGTACGAAAGCTGCAGCGTGACGTTGTTTGAAATTTTATTATTGGGCTGAACTGATTCTTGATAATTTTAACAAAATTGTCATTTAAACGCGCTATATCTCAGTCGTTTGTGTATCGATCGATTTGAAATTTTCACACAATAAACTACAAACTATTCCAATTTAAGTTTAACACCACTTCTTAATACTTACTACGAATAAAACTACACGTTTATAACTTTTTTATGAGAATTAAGAGGGTGTTTGTTTTCAAATGCAAAAGTTGTGTTATAAAATTTGAAATAAATTTTTTTGTTTTAAAACAGTTNTTGTTTTCAAATGCAAAAGTTGTGTTATAAAATTTGAAATAAATTTTTTGTTTTAAAACAGTGTTGTAGATGACTATGTAGGGAAGTTTTTGCGAAAGTTTCAAAATTAAACATCAAGTAGTTGCAAAGTTATAACAATATTATTATGACTCACACGGTTAGCAGATTAGCGCGCTGCGCTCTAAAAGCCTTTATAACTCAGAAAAGTAAAAAAGTCCGTTTTTATTAGTGATTTATATGTAAAAAGACTTGATCTTTCGATTGAGATTACTAAAAACAATATTAAAAATTACCATAGTTCAGAAAAATTACAAATAAATTTTCGTTCAGAATTTTCACTATGAAAACGGGAAAATTTTGGAAAACGCATAGTGCCATCGCATAGCCCGTATAAAAATCTATAGAAATCATAGTTTTCGAATTAGTTTTCCTATTTTCTTTCTGCTTCGCAGCTAGTCGAAAAGTAGCTTGTTTTGCACCGCTCAGGGCGCTGGGACATTTGACGTGAATTGCCCCCAAAATAATTTAAGAAATAGTAGTTTTGTAAAAAGGGGTATCTACATATGTATTGCTTTATTTTGGTACTTATCAATCCGATAT